TCAGAGTTATACAAGGTCTTTAGCCTTGTCTGCCAAATAATGTTGGTGAATCCTGGGATTCACCAAATAATGTTGGTGAATCCTGGGATTCAGAGTTATACAAGGTCTTTAGCCTTGTCTGCCAAATAATGTTGGTGCCTCACAAAACTACAAATCCCAGGATGTTGTAGAATGGAACCATGACAGTTAAAGTGGTGTTAAACCACATTATTTCTATAGTATAAATGCATCCTAAATCCCATAGTTAGCTTGACTAGACTAGGTCCACTGAATCAATTGAATTTTACTTTTATATTGACTCAATAGTCAAAAATTAATTCAATAGGGCTATTGTAGTCAGACTAACCAACAGGATTCCAATTTAAGAAAAGTTGGTAGTTGAGTCTTGCACTGTAAATCAGGAGCAGAAGTAGGTTGAAGACCTTCCCTTTTGATTTACTGAGTATGCTTAAGGTGGCCAAGATGGGTAGCAATTGAGAAGGATTTTGTTTTTAGTACATTGGTAGGTTATTTAAGCATTTTAGCATTTCTATAGGGTTGTGTTTTATCATTCATTTTTGATTATATATGTCTAATGTTCCACCTTTTGGTGAAAAGAGCGTTATAAATAAACGCCGTCACCATCGTCGTCGTTGTTAACTATTGACTTGTTCCTTGACCATTGTGTGTTTTGCTTTTTCTTTTAAAGCACTTCTATTGCTCTTGGGTCTTCATGAAGCATCTTCCTTGAAACTCTCCTTGAGCAATGCCCTGGAACGTCAAATGGCTGAACGGCTACAGCAGCCACAGCTCCCAGTCCCAGAAGCAATGCAAGAAGTCCTCCTTCGCCTTCTACCAAGCTGTGAGGGACCAGCTGCCTGTGTGGTTCTTGGAGGATATGAGGCGCATGGAAGCTTTCCACTGGCAAGAAGGGGGCAAGGTCAGCACCTACTCCCCCTCAGAGGCCCTTCTCTATGCCCTGGTCCACAACCACCAGCCTTACGCCCATTACCTCCTCAGCACATTTCCCAAGAACGCCCTGGCTGTACCCAGCCTGCATTTCAGCTGTTGCCACTCGTCGGCCCCTCACTTGGCCATGGCTGTCCGCTACAACCGTGTCCACATTCTTTTAGAGATTCTGAAGGCCATCAGAGACTTCCCATTAAGCGACCGAGCCGCCTACTTAGACCGCAGAGGCTGCAGCCGTGTAGAAGGGGGCAAGACCTCCCTCCACATGGCCTGCGAACTGGCGAGGCCCGAATGTTTGCTTTTGCTGCTGGGCCACGGGGCCTCGCCCTGCCTCCGTGACTGTGTTGGGAACACCCCTTTGGACCTCTTGCTTCAAGAGATCTGGGAAAACCCAACGTCGAATCTGCGCACCAAGCTTCTCCTCCTGGACTCCCTGCTCCTCTTTATGCCTCAGGGCTTCCATTTCGCAAGGAAGCAGCAACTGCGGGCGGACCAGCAGCAATGGCAAGACCTGCTGGGAAAGCACCGGTTCCAGTGGCTGGCAGGTTTAGCCCCTTCTTCCCTCTTTGTTCAATCCATGCAAGTCTTAATTGGGACCATTTCGCCGGAACAGTTCCCAGAAGCTCTAGAGAACCTGCCTTTGCCGCACTTTCTGAAGCCTTTAGACCTCAAACTGAAGAGTTAAGGACTTCACACTAGAGACCTCTTCCCTTCTCCCCACCCTGCCCTTCCTTCTTGTGTAATGAAAATATGGTTTTTGGCTGTTGTTTGGAGAACTCGTGTGTTCAGTGTATACATCTGTGTGGTAAAGGGGGAAGCCTTTGTTTTAATTAGAATCTTGTTTTAAAAAGGACTTGAGTATGGCATTGTGTTTTATTTAAACGTTGCCACAGTAGGATGGAAAACCCACGTCAGATTTGAAAGGAAGGACATAGTTTCTTAATGAGAGGAGACTTTGCTTTAAAACAGGGGTGGGCAACTGTGGTGGTTCTGAGAGTCAATTTTCTGCTACCGGATTCCCCAGGAGCTCAGTGGACTGCCTGAAATGGCCACAAAGAAAGAGAAATAAATCAATGCTATAAGTAGCTGAGAATCTGCTATTTAAAATGAAGGACTGGCATCCTGCTCAGCAATTCAGGTTGAGTCTTCCTTACCCAGAATTCTGAAATCCAAAATAGTCCAAAAACCAAAACTTTTTTCATGGGTGGCTGAAAGCGTGACACCTTTGTTTTCTGATGGTTCAGTCTACACAAACTTTGTTTCATGTGCAAAATTATTTAAAATATTGTATAAAATGACCTGCAGGTTATGTGCACAAGGTATATATTCTGCATCCACGGATTCAACCATCCACAGCTTGAAAATATTTTTAAAAAATAATAATTCCAAAAAGCAAATACAGATATTCTGAAATTTTAAAAAATCCAAAATTCCAAACACTTCTGCTCCCAAGCATTTAGGATACGGGAGATTCAACCTGTAATAAGATTGTAAGCTGGATGTACAAACTTGTAACGTTTGGAACTGATGTTTACAGCCATTAACAATTGAACATGATCTTAAAAACCTATCTTTTCAGCCTGGCAGCATCCTAACGGAAGGGTTTCTGAGGTGCTGCAGATCAAGACCCTGGGAAGTTGCCTCTGCAATGCTCTCACAACTGTGGGCCATAGGAAGCAATGACAGCCAAGGGCTCTCTCCAGTTGCCTGTTCTTGGCCTTCCCTGTGACCGGGATTGTGCTAGAGACATCATTTCCCAGCACACCAATATAAGCACCTCATAAATCATTTGGATGGGGCACTTCTGGGTTGAAATGTTAGGGGTTTTATGAGGGACATAGTCAGTAGCTACAGAGATGGAGCTCTGTTATCATAGTTACAGCTGACAATGCAGGATCTCTGCAATTTTTTAAATGTTAGAAAGTGCAGTAAGGTCCTGCAGTTGACTTAAAAGTTAAGTTGTCTCTCCTGGTGACTCCAAGAGAGCCAGTTCTTCTTCTGGGGAAAATCCAAGGAATCTGGAGGTGCAAGAACAGCTAAATCTGGATCTTCAGAACTGTACACAAACCTAAATAAATGAGTAACCCTAGCCTAAATAAATGAGTAATCCCTGTTCCCCATAACAGCACAATATTAACATAACAAGACAATAGTAGTAACAATTTCCAAGGATCAATCAGAGCTAAGGAAATATTTAAAACAAACTAGGAAAATATTTAAGAGAAACAAAAGTGCCCTTCCTCCTTCTGTCAACTGACTACAACAGCAAAGTGGTGGGTTTGATGAGTTTCAACCAATAGGGCACTAGAGAAGGGGAGAAAAACCTTGTACCTTCTTGGGGCCAGT